AGTAGTGACGGAGGAGGTGCTGCCAGCTGGAAGCTTGACATAGTGGTGTCGAGAATAGTAGTTATGGTATGGGTAGTGGTGGTAGTAGCGGTAAGGGTAGTGGTGATACTTATGTGGTTCGGGATCGGCGTGAGTAATCACGGCCGCTGCCAAACACACTAGTACGATTGTCTGGAAAATAGACCAGTATTAGAACTGCTAGGGAGGTGTTTTCGATTAAAATGATGTTTTTCATCTTATTCTTTCCAGTAAATCAATGATGATTATTCAGTTTTGTCTGATCGAAGTTTACATGAATCATTCAAGGTGATGTAGGCCTATTATATCAGCGCTACATAATTATTGATCAAGATATCTACTAACAAAAATACATAAATTAATTAAGGGCAAAATCGGTGAAAGAAAAAAGTTGTATGTATGTATGTATGCATGCTACATATAAATAGATACATTTATATATAGACATAGATGTATGCGTGCACATATATATATTTATTTATTTATATGTGTATTCGATCAGGTATTATGTAAGAATATATTCTCTCAAGTACTAATAAATTTTTCGTTCGTTAGGTATGTCGACTCACCGCAAGCTTCATGGCTGGACCTCTTCTTGGCTCACTGAGGACGCTGTGTGTGCTCACTGCTTGTGGAAGCCGCTTTATATATGGCTCCTGTGCGTGACCTTCGACAAGCAGAGGTTCATGCACCCTATGGGAACAGCCCATAGATCTGTATTTCCTCAGCTTTTGAAAGAAAAGTGCTCTCTTTTGCTTTTTTATCAATATGTTTCTGTATATTTTGCATATCACAGATATGGGGTGCAAATTGGTGGTATACATCCTACGTGAATATTACATTTACATGCCAATATTTTTCTATGTGACATACATGTTCATAGACTCGCACGCCTGTGTTTGTGTATATATATATACGTATATATATGTATATATATGTATGTATATATAGATGTAGATATACACACGCATATATACATGTGTTTATATATATTATATATATATGTAGATATCTATGTACATAAACACAAACATGTGTGTGGTCATATACATATATTAATATATTGATGTACATATTTAAAAATATATGTATAAATATATACATATATATGCACATACATGTGTGTATATATGTCTACATACATACACATGTACATATGTGTGTATACATATATATATATACATTACACATACATGTATATATGTTGATATATATGTTTATACATTTATATATACATATATTTATATATATATGTACACTAACATACACACAGACACACACATTCACACACGTACACACGCACACATACACACAAACACACACACACATATATATATGTACATATATATTTCTGTATAAAGATGTAGTTATATATTTATATATATGCATATGCAATATGTATGTACTTATGTATGTACATATACATCTATATACATATGTAGATTCATATATATATGTACATATATAATATATGTGCGTGTATACATACATATATATGTATATATATATATTCATATACACATATGCACACACGCACAGACACACACATATATAAGTATATATATAAACACATATTTTTAAACTATGTATATATATGTGCTTATAGAGATATAGAGAATATGGATATATACATATATATATGTCTATATATATGAATATATGCATATGTATGTGTGTTCATATATATGTATATGTGTTTGTATATATATATAGAGAGAGAGATGTACTCATATATAAGTATATATATATACCATACACACATACAGATATGGGTGTGTATATATATACATATACACATATGTATCATATGAAACCACACACACACACACACATATATATATATATATATAATTATATGATTTTATATATATATATATTATACATACATACACACACAAATATATTTATATATACCTAGATAGATATATTTATACATATATACATATATACATGTGCATATATATTTGTGTGTATATACATATATGTGTGTGTTTCTGTGTGTGCGTTTATTTATTCTCTCTCTATATATATACATGTATAATGCATGCGTGTGTCTGTTTGTGTGTGCGTTTATTTATTCTCTATATATACATATATTGTGCATGCGTGTGTGTCTTCAGTGAGCCTACGACAGTCTACAGGACATTTATATGAACACATGCACACACACACACACATATATATACATATGCACACACAAATGAATATATAAACATATAAATGAATATATGCACATACTTTTATATAGATGTATGCGTATATATATGTATGTATGAAATATATATGTGCAGGTGTATACATAGATACAATTATATATATATGTAAACATATACACTTGTATACATATGTATTCCTATGTGTGTAACTGTATGTATATAGAGATAAAGTGATATATAGTATTATAAACACGAGCTAGCAAAAGCACATGTATACATACATGTACATAGATTTACATACATTCATAGGCACAGATATATATACATGTGTGTAAGTATATATGCACGATAACCTTCTTTAGTGGTGGCTAGGGTAAAGTTTATGGATTATGCTCCTCTCTCCCTCTCCTCTTCTACGCACACTTATATATATATATATACGTATATTGACAGACATATATGTGTGCACATATATATACATATTGTAAATCTAATCAAAATAATCATTATGACATACTAGTTTGATGAAAGTCTGAAAAAATTACACTGCAGTTATTGAGACAGCATATAATCTAAAATCATTAGAAGCTAAACATCAACGTTAATAATCCAACCTCTTGATATCTTACAAGTAGCTGTGTATTGCTGTGTTTGGCAGCGGCTATTGATACGCACGCCGATCTCAAACCATACAAATATCACCACTACCCTTACTACCATTACTATCATCACCACCATGTGAAGCCATTGGAGGGCGATGGAGTGGCCAGGCATCCAAGCGGTGGCACTTCCTTCGTGGCTACAAGTTCACGGCCTCACTAAACGCTCAGCTGACACCCCATGCCGAAGCCTAATCCTGAACCAGCTGTTGATCCAGATCCATCCAAGAGCTATAGTTACCAGGTAGTCCAACAAACCCATCCTCACTACGGTTATCGCTACCCTACTATGGCTACCGTTACAGCCATCACTATGGCTACCCTTACACTTACCACAAGCACCACAAGAGATCAGCCAACCTGAACCTCATTACAGTTATTACGGACATCTTCACTACTACAAAAGATATCACGGTTATCCTCACACCTATCCTTACTACGCCAGTTACCGCTACCGCTACCGGGGATAGGAGAGATGACAGGAATGGATTACGGCAAGCCTTGTGGAAATGGTCCTTTACCAAATATGTCTGATAGTCTGGTTTGCTCACGCAGGTTGTTCGGGCATAGCCAGTACCTTTATCACTAATCGAAGGACAGGGAACCAATACGATAAAGAACAAAGATGGCAATCAGCACTGCAGAATTTCCTCATCCACCTATCTGGGTTATGAAATGCAAACTCAGAAATGATCCCCAATCCATGGCATAGAACTTATATATTAATACTGGCAAATTACCAAGTCACAAAACTCTACCTTTGTTGTGAAGACAATGATTAAATCAGAGACTAGGTGCGGACAATTCTCTGAGTACCTATAACGGAAATTACACCCTCTGTCTATATACACATAGAAATATGTGTGTGTGCATATATATATAGATATATAGAGATAGATATAGATGTACATAAACATGTATATATATATGCATATATGTGTATATACATATCCACACAAATACACACATGCACACACCCAAACACACACACACACATGCACACATACACATGTATAGAGAGAGTAAAAATAAACGCGCGCGCGCATACATTATGTATAGGTATGGGAAGAGAGAAAAAATAAATTAACGTACACACAAACACATACACGCACATACACACACATATCACACACATATACATACATATATAATATATGTGATATATATAGGTATATATATGTATAGATTTATCTATCTATATATGTATATATCTGTGTATGCGTGTATGTATGATATATATAAGATCATATATATATAACTGTATGTATGTAATTATATATCTGTGTGTGTGCATGGTAATGTAATATATGTGTATATATATATGAATATATATATACCTATATATATCTGTGTATGTGTGTATAATATATATATACATGTATATATATACATATATACATACATATACATATATATGCATATCAACTTATATAAACATTATATGTATATATCTATCTCTTTATATATACATGTATTATATATATGTGTGTGTGTTAGTATGTATGTATATATATATATATATGCATGTGTGTGTATATATATATATTTACACACACATAAACAGGCTGGAGATTTTGTTCACTTGAAGAAAATGCTAAACGAAACTACAAATACGGAAGAAGTATGTAAATGCATACATTATGATTTAGGTTTGTTTAAGAACGAAAACATGCGATACATATGTGTATGATGTGTGTTTAAAGATATAAACAATGTGTTTGTGTGCAAAGATATAAACACATGTATTCGATTTAGGCAAGTGAAATTCATTCACATCAAGTTCTTGCAGTAGTATTTGTCAATATTTTTACATTCCATGATTTTTTTATGTCGCAATAAAAACGTAGTCTGACCCCAAAAAAAAAAAAAAAAAAAAAAAAAAAATATATATATATATACATATAAAATCCCAGTAGTGTTGAGATTTCAAAATGTTAAAATGTTACAGGGTTGTAAAGAGATGTGCGTTAGATTATGTAATCTTTATTCTTTACACAATGCACAGCTATTCCGACATTCAAAGAACAATTCATTAGTTTTATGCGGCCTCTAAGACTGAGTACTGTACTACTTGTGCCTGAAAAACCGGCGTGAGCAAACCAGACTAACAGGCACATTTCGTTAAAGGACCATCGCCACAAGGCCTGCTGAAGTCCATGTGTCTTCCCTATCCTCGGTTGTGGTAGCGGTAACCGGCGTAGTAAGGATAGTAGTTGCGGTAACCGTGATAGTATCTGTTGTAGTAGTGAGGGCGTCCGTAATAGGTGTAATGTGGTTCAGGTTCGGGTTCAGATTCGACTGATCTCTTGTGGTGGCTGTGGTATCTATGAGGATAACCATAGTAGTGGTTGTAACGGTAGGTATTGTAAGGGTAGCGATATCCATGGTGGTATCCATAGTGGGGATGGCCGTGGTTAACTACCTGGTAACTATAGCTATTGGATGGATCAGGGTCAGCTGTTGGTTCCGGGTTGGGGTCCGGCGTAGGGTCAGCTGAACGTTTAGTGAGGCCATGGACTTGAGTAGTGACGGAGGAGGTGCTGCCAGCTGGAAGCTTGACATAGTGGTGTCGAGAATAGTAGTTATGGTATGGGTAGTGGTGGTAGTAGCGGTAAGGGTAGTGGTGATACTTATGTGGTTCGGGATCGGCGTGAGTAATCACGGCCGCTGCCAAACACACTAGTACGATTGTCTGGAAAATAGACCAGTATTAGAACTGCTAGGGAGGTGTTTTCGATTAAAATGATGTTTCTCATCTTATTCTTTCCAGTAAATCAATGATGATTATTCAGTTTTGTCTGATCGAAGTTTACATGAATCATTCAAGGTGATGTAGGCCTATTATATCAGCGCTACATAATTATTGATCTAGATATCTACTAACAAAAATACATAAATTAATTAAGGGCAAAATCGGTGAAAGAAAAAAGTTGTATGTATGTATGTATGCATGCTACATATAAATAGATACATTTATATATAGACATAGATGTATGCGTGCACATATATATATTATATTATTTATATGTGTATTCGATCAGGTATTATGTAAGAATATATTCTCTCAAGTACTAATAAATTTTTCGTTCGTTAGGTATGTCGACTCACCGCAAGCTTCATGGCTGGACCTCTTCTTGGCTCACTGAGGACGCTGTGTGTGCTCACTGCTTGTGGAAGCCGCTTTATATATGGCTCCTGTGCGTGACCTTCGACAAGCAGAGGTTCATGCACCCTATGGGAACAGCCCATAGATCTGTATTTCCTCATCTTTTGAAAGATAAGTGCTCTCTTTTGTTTTTTTATCAATATGTTTCTGTATATTTTGCATATCACAGATATGGGGTGCAAATTGGTGGTATACATCCAACGTGAATATTACATTTACATGCCAATATTTTTTTATGTGACATACATGTTCATATACTCGCACGCCTGTGTTTGTGTATATATATACGTATATATATGTATATATATGTATGTATATATAGATGTAGATATACACACGCACATATACATGTGTTTATATATATTATATATATGTGTAGATATCTATATACATAAACACAAACATGTGTGTGGTCATATACATATATTAATATATTGATGTACATATTTAAAAATATATGTATAGATATATACATATATATGCACATACATGTGTGTATATATATCTACATACATACACATGTACATATGTTTGTATACATATATATTTATATACATTACACATACATGTATATATGTTGATATATATGTTTATACATTTATATATACATATATTTATATATATATGTACACTAACATACACACAGACACACACATTCACACATACACACGCACACACACACAAACACACACACACACAAACACACACACATATATATGTACATATATATTTCTGTATAAAGATGTAGCTATATATTTATATATATGCATATGCAATATGTATGTACTTATGTATGTACATATACATCTATATACATATGTAGATTCATATATATGTGTACATATATAATATATGTGCGTGTATACATACATATATATGTATATATATATATTCATATACACATATGCACACACGCACAAACACACACATATATAAGTATATATATACACACATATTTTTAAACTATGTATATATATGTGCTTATAGAGATATAGAGAATATGGATATATACATATATATGTCTATATATATGAATATATGCATATGTATGTGTGTTCATATATATGTATATGTGTTTGTATATATATATAGAGAGAGATGTACTTATATATAAGTATATATATATACCATACACACATACAGATATGGGTGTGTATATATATACATATACACATATGTATCATATGAAACCACACACACACACACATATATATATATATATATATATATAATTATATGATTTTATATATATATATATTATACATACATACACACACAAATATATTTATATATACCTAGATAGATATATTTATACATATATACATATATACATGTGCATATATATGTGTGTGTATATACATATATGTGTGTGTTTCTGTGTGTGCGTTTATTTATTCTCTCTCTATATATATACATGTATAATGCATGCGTGTGTCTGTTTGTGTGTGCGTTTATTTATTCTCTCTATATACATATATTGTGCATGCGTGTGTGTCTTCAGTGAGCCTACGACAGTCTACAGGACATTTATATGAACACATGCACACACACACACACATATATATACATATGCACACACAAATGAATATATAAACATATAAATGAATATATGCACATATTTTTATATAGATGTATGCGTATATATATGTATGTATGAAATATATATGTGCAGGTGTATACATAGATACAATTATATATATATGTAAACATATATACTTGTATACATATGTATTTCTATGTGTGTAACTGTATGTATATAGAGATAAAGTGATATATAGTATTATAAACACGAGCTAGCAAAAGCACATGTATACATACATGTACATAGATTTACATACATTCATAGGCACAGATATATATACATGTGTGTAAGTATATATGCACGATAACCTTCTTTAGTGGTGGCTAGGGTAAATTTTATGGATTATGCTCCTCTCTCCCTCTCTTCTACGCACACACATATATATATATACGTATATTGACAGACATATATGTGTGCACATATATATACATATTGTAAATCTAATCAAAATAATCATTATGACATACTAGTTTGATGAAAGTCTGAAAAAATTACACTGCAGTTAATGAGACAGCATATAATCTAAAATCATTAGAAGCTAAACATCAACGTTAATAATCCAACCTCTTGATATCTTACAAGTAGCTGTGTATTGCTGTGTTTGGCAGCGGCTATTGATATGCACGCCGATCTCAAACCATACAAATATCACCACTACCCTTACTACCATTACTATCATCACCACCATGTGAAGCCATTGGAGGGCGATGGAGTGGCCAGGCATCCAAGCGGTGGCACTTCCTTCGTGGCTACAAGTTCACGGCCTCACTAAACGCTCAGCTGACACCCCATGCCGAAGCCTAATCCTGAACCAGCTGTTGATCCAGATCCATCCAAGAGCTATAGTTACCAGGTAGTCCAACAAACCCATCCTCACTACGGTTATCGCTACCCTACTATGGCTACCGTTACAGCCATCACTATGGCTACCCTTACACTTACCACAAGCACCACAAGAGATCAGCCAACCTGAACCTCATTACAGTTATTACGGACATCTTCACTACTACAAAAGATATCACGGTTATCCTCACACCTATCCTTACTACGCCAGTTACCGCTACCGCTACCGGGGATAGGAGAGATGACAGGAATGGATTACGGCAAGCCTTGTGGCAATGGTCCTTTACCCAATATGTCTGATAGTCTGGTTTGTTCACGCCGGTTGTTCGGGCATAGCCAGTACCTTTATCACTAATCGAAGGACAGGGAGCCAATACGATAAAGAACAAAGATGGCAATCAGCACTGCAGAATTTCCTCATCCACCTATCTGGGTTATGAAATTCAACTCAGAAATGTTCCCCAACCCATGGCATAGAATTTATATACTAATACTGGCAAATTACTAAGTCACAAATCTCTGCCTTTGTTGTGAAGACAATTATTAAATCTGAGACTAGGTGCGTACAATTCTCCGAGTACCTATAACGGAAATTACACTTATGGCAACCTTCTTAATAGATTCTACCTCTCTCTCTGTCTATATACACATATAGAAATATGTGTGTGCATATATATACATAGATATATAGAGATAGATATAGATGTACATAAACATGTATGTATATATGCATATATATGTATATACATATCCACACAAATACACACATGCACACACCCAAACACACACACACATGCACACATACACATATGTATAGAGAGAGTAAAAATAAACGCGCGCGCGCATACATTATGTATAGGTATAGGAAGAGAGAAAGAATAAATAAACGTACACACAAACACATACACGCACATACACACACATATCACACACATATATATACATATATAATATATGCAGTATATATACGTATATATATGTATAAATTTATCTGCCTATATATATGTATATATCTGTGTATGCGTGTATGTATGATATATATATATGATCATATATATATAATTGTATATATATAATTATATATCTGTGTGTGAGCATGGTAATGTAATATATATATGTGTGTATATATATGAATTTATATATACACCCATATATATCTGTTTATGTGTGTATAATATATATACATGTATATGTATGTATACATGTATATATATACATATATACACAGATATACATATATATGCATATCAACTTATTTATATAAACATTATATGTATATATCTATATCTCTCTCTATATATACATGTATTGTATATGTGTGTGTGCGTTTATATTTACACACACATTTATGGTCGCTAGTCCAAGTTCAATCTGTATTTAGAGCCATAACTAAAAAGCTTGGGAAACACTGGTCTATATGAAACAATTGCTCCTTTATCAAACAGGCTGGAGATTTTGTTCATTTGAAGAAAATGCTAAATGAAACTACAAATACGGAAGAAATATGTAAACGCATACATTATGATTTAGGTTTGTTTAAGAACGAAAACATGCGATACATATGTGTATGATGTGTGTTTAAAGATATAAACAATGTGTTTGTGTGCAAAGATATAAACACATGTATTCGATTTAGGCAAGTGAAATTCATTCACATCAAGTTCTTGCAGTATTATTTGTCAATATTCTTACATTCTATGATTTTTTATGTCGCAATAAAAACGTAGTCTGACTTTCAAAAAAAAAAAAAAAAAAAGAAAGAAAATGATTATACATATAAAATCCCAAAGTAGTGTTGAGATTTCAAAAATTTAAAATGTTACAGGGTTGTAAAGAGATGTGCGTTAGATTATGTAATCTTTATTCTTTACACAATGCACAGCTATTCCGACATTAAAAAATAATTCATTGGTTTTATGTGGCCTCTAAGACTGATTACGACTTGTGCCTGAAAAACCGGTGTGAGCAAACCAGACTAACAGGCACATCTCGTAAAGGACCATCGCCACAAGGCCTGCTGCAATCCATGTTTCTTCCCTATCCTCGATTGTGGTAGCGGTAACCGGCGTAGTAAGGATAGTAGTTGCGGTAACCGTGATAGTATCTATTGTAGTAGTGAGGGCGTCCGTAATAGGTGTAATGAGGTTCAGGTTCGGGTTCAGATTCGACTGATCTCTTGTGGTGGCTGTGGTATCTATGAGGATAACCATAGTAGTGGTTGTAACGGTAGGTATTATAAGGGTAGCGATATCCATGGTGGTATCCATAGTGAGGATGGCCATGGTTGACTACCTGGTAACTATAGCTATTGGATGGATCAGGGTCAGCTGTTGGTTCCGGGTTGGGTTCTGGCATAGGGTCAGCTGAACGTTTAGTGAGGCCATGGACTTGAGTAGTGACGGAGGGGGTGCTGCCACCTGGAAGCTTGACATAGTGGTGTCGAGAATAGTAGTTATGGTAGGGGTAGTGGTGGTAGTAGCGGTAAGGGTAGTGGTGATACTTATGTGGTTCGGGATCGGCGTGAGTAACCACGGCCGCTGCCAAACACACTAGTACGATTGTCTGGAAAATAGGCTAGTATTAGAACTGCTAGAGATGTTTTCGATTAAATTGATGTTTTTCATCTTATTCTTTCCAGTAAATCAATGATTATTAAATTTTATCTGATCGGAGTTT